ATATCCCTTTAGCGATGATGTTTAAGATAATACACTATTTTCTGTAGTTTATATAATAAGTTATTATAAGTATATTTCCCACATAATCATCTCCTATCACAGATGTCTTAAAGCTGCTAAATATTGAAAATGAGTCCTCACGTTTTTTTTCCAAAGAATATTAATTAGTTTTCGTACAATACAGTTATTTGCCTTCTGGAAGCATGGCTTATTGATTGATATTGTGTCTATGTGATGTCCATTATCATGTCCATACTGGAGTTATTTACGAGAAATCTAAAGAAAAAAATGTATTTGCGCAGTAATATGTAGCATGTAACTAGCTCTAAACAAAAATGGTTCCAGTTAATTCTAACGCCCCCTCGGTGCTTGCACGTTGCTGAAAAGGCACGGGGCACGAGCAGAAGATTTGAAGAACTCGGGATGACTGAAAAATAAAGACCAGAACTTGTACTTGCGGACCACCTGTCGATGTCCTGACTGAAGCCGAGGGGAGCGGTCCTGCAATAAGCAGGGACAATGATAAAAGTGTGCTTGGGAGCCAAGAGACGGAAGACGTTAAAGACAGGCCCTTTGCTTGGCAACAACAGCCCTTTTTAGGGCTACCTCCCACTTTTCATATTGTCTCATTTAGGTTTCTTATTTACCGCCGTACAGTGACCTAATTTTTGCTCAAAATTCATATATTTGGCTAATACTCTGTGGAGGTAAATTATCACCACTTTGTGCTTCAAAATTTACCCTCTAAGGGCATGACTGGTGACATGTCCGGGATACGTACTCGAGAGCAAAGGCTGCATTTTGTGCCTTAGCGGGTGGATGGACCCTTATTAAAAAAAAGAGAATATAGAATTATGTACATTTACATGATTTCGGTTACCTTTTTTTATCTTTTTTTTTCATAAAATTGACAAAACATGTTGTAATATAGCTCCATGTATAACACGTTTTGTAACATTTACATGTTTATAACTTAATACCATGAATTATACAGTGTATTCAAATTGCTCCATTTGTGAGGGAGCAATTATATGCTTTTATATGTCCCTACACAATCCTTATAGATAAATTGTCTTCATATTATACAAAGACCAGAATAATGTTTGATCCATATATGGTTTCAACCGTTTCATATTCTTTAAATGATAACTTAATTCAGTTACATACCAAATTGGACAAAATTTCCGCAGAAAACATTTAAGGAAAAGACACTTTCTTATTTTGGGTTTTATATCTACTTAGAAATATAGTATGAAAAAAAGAAGATTTGCATGTTTAAAAAAAACACGAGAAAAAAGAGAGAAAGTGTAAACATATTGTTTGAACATTTAAGTTGCTAAGAATTGAAAAACATGTAGTATCATCACTTAAATGTCCATTTACCAATTACCCCGAAATTTGGTAAAATGCAATAGATGTAAGTCTATAAAGAAGTAAGAGTTGCTCACTTTTTTTAAATTTGATTTTTTTTTCAATTTGAATAAATATATAATTGTATCCTTCCCACTAAAACTTATACATGTATTGTATGGTGGCATATTTCGGTCACCAGATAACTTGATAACTAACTAGTTAATTAAGAGGTTAACTAGTTACGTAACTAGTTAACCTGATACCGAACTAGTTAATTAAGAGGTTAACTAGTTACGTTACTAGTTAACCTGATAACTAACTAGTTAATTAAGAGGATAACTAGTCACGTAACTAGTTAACCTGATAACTAACTAACTAGTTAATTGAGAGGTTAACTAGTTACGTAACTAGTTAACCTGATAACTAACTAGTTAATTAAGAGGTTAACTAGTTACGTAACTAGTTAACCTAATACCGAACTAGTTAATTAAGAGGTTAACTAGTTACGTAACTAGTAAACCTGATAAATAACTAGTTAGTTAAGAGGTTAACTAGTTACGTAACTAGTAAACCTGATAAATAACTAGTTAGTTAAGAGGTTAACTAGTTACGTAACTAGTTAACCTCTCAATTAACTAGTTAGTTATATGGTTATCTGGTGGCAGAAATATGCCACCATAGTATTGAATATATCATATATAATAAGAAACAAATCATTATTAAATAGCAAGAAAATTGTCAAGGATACAATATATCCGTGGAACACGAAATCCCATTTCGAAATCAAAGGCAATAAATTATAAGCTAAATAAATTAGTAAGAGAGTCGTTTGGAATTAATTAGGGAATAAATAAATAAATAAATAAATAAATAAATTAATTAATTAATTAATTAATTAAATAATTAATTAATTTCCGCATGTGTTATGCGAAGATTTATCTACCTCAGGATAATTCATTTTACATAGGCGACAGGACGTGGTATAGTTAGTATAAGAGAGGCTACTCTGTCATTACAAAGAATGCACATAATTTTGTTGTTTGGCAAAGTTGTCTCCCTTAGACAGCCGCTTTTGCGAGTGACTACCAGATCTATTTGGTTTTCATATCAATTACTGCAAAAGAGATAAAAATGTCAAAACCTGGCTGTCGACAGTGCATATGAAATTATTTATTACCAAGTTCGTATATGGTACACATTTTTTTTACATATTTTTTAGAATTATTTCTGGTCAAATTTTAATGTTTTCTGATCGCTTCTTGCGAAGAAAATTGAATGTCTACGCTATCAGTGTGATATATAAAACCAGGACAGCCTGACCAGGGTCTGCAGTAGAATTCGTCATAAAATATTGTCTGCTAGTTGAATTCGTCGTATCATAAAATATCGTCTGCAATATAAAATTATATCATATTTTCTCACGTAGGTAAGTAACTAAGACCTTGTACAAGATATACTTGTGTATTCAACATGTTGAACACGTTCTACCTTAAAACCATGAAAGTAATCTGTCAGATCACGTTTAATAAACTTCAAAAACATGCAGTTTTAAACAAATGAGCCGACAAGAATCATTACTCTTTTATCCAAGTTCTGAAACTAATATCATTACCGCCTCCATGGTCGAGGGTTTTTGACTTCTAATCCAGTTACCTCTCTGGCGTGGGTTCGATCCGCGGGAGATGCTTTGGTAGTTTAGCGCGGAGGAAGGTAGTCTAGTACTGGTGTAACTCTCCAGGAACGATGGTTAAGAAACTACCCGCCTATATAACTGAAATACTGTTGGGAAAAGGCGTAAAATGAAACAAACAAACAAACAAAAAACTTACGCATCGGCTTCCTGGAAATAGCCAGTACTGGCGTCATACTAGGAAACCTGGTCGTGACCCAATAAGGCTTGAATCCATGATCCATGTGTTGAGAGGCAGACACTTTAACTACTAGGACACAGCTGCCATTATGCATCTAAAACGTTATATTGTTCAATGTTGCAAAAACGCATGGAAATGAAGGTTGTCGAGTAGATGTTAGCATTACATTGATACCACATTTATTAAAGTCTGTTCACTTTAGCTGTGTTCATTGCCCACTTGTATGCTGCAATACAAAAATAGCTGATAGATCAGAATTGTCTACTTGGCATAGGGTGTATGAAATCAGTTATGTAAATGGATAAATGAAATGCCTTTTTGATCAGTTGTTGGTTTAATAAATTCAAATGTGGGTTTATTTCGACTGAAGATACACCCAATGCCCATTGCCAATGCCCAACTACCTAAACGTCTGTCAAAGTGGTTGCTAAAGTGAAATAAATAGTCAATACCGATGCAAGATACACCACTAGGATAATAGCTAGTATCGTTTGCTTCTCATTAAGAGTAGCTCATACTATTCCCAAACATGATTTGAAAATGAAAAGATCTGAGCTAGATTGATTCCCCATTTGCTTATATATAGGCCTAAAAAAACTTGCATACAATGCACTAGGTTGTTGATTAAACAGTATCCAAATTACAATGTACGGTCTTTTGCCAATGTTGTCACTGGCGACGAAACATGGGTTCATTTTTATGAGCCAAAACGAAAACACGAAATCAAGATTTGGGCTACAAAATCTGGCAAAAGACCATGCATTGCAAAAAGAACCTTCAGTATAAAGAAGATAATGTATGCCATTTTCTTTCAAACTCACGGTCCGCCATTTAGATTGCCGTTCCAAAAGGCAAATCTTTTAATGCGAAATTTTACGAGACAAAAGTTCTTTGGAAACTATACAAATACTTTTAAAAACGAAATGACCCGCAACAGGTTTGACCAATGCCATATTTCTGGAAAGAAACGCGTCATCGCACAAAATGTCCAAAGTGCAAGACTTTCTGAAGAAGAAAAGTCATTTTGCTCTCCCATTCTCCGTATTCACTTGGCCTTGCCCTTGCTTACTTCTCTTTGTTTCATAAATACCTTTTAGACCGAAAATTTGTTAAGAGCAAACAATTCGGTTCTGCAATATTCCAGAGTCTTCTAGTAAACTTAAAAGATTATGAAAAAGATTGGATCCAGATACTGAAACGTTGGAGTTGAATACTTTGAGGGAACGAAATAAAACAATCAGTGAAACCTGCAAAATTTGATTCTTCATAGGTTTCACATAGGTTGCATTCATATTTAAACAGTCCTTGTATAAAGTTAGGTTCAGGACAGTGATAGTACAAAGTTTGGTTTCCTAGAAACTATTCTAAAAATTATAAACCGATAACCAGGCGAGAGGACTTAAACACTTAAAAAAGCATAGTCAAATCTTCAAGCTCATATATACAGTTACTTGACCAGTTGGAGTAGTTAGTTCATATTGTCAAGCCAGTAATTTAAATGAATGACCTAATTGATTCACATCGTCGGACTAGTAGATTCACTTCATCGGACCAGTAGATTCACTTCGTTGGACCAGTAAATTCACTTCGTTGGACCATTGGACTAATTAATTTCGTCGTTGATCTAGTTTATTCAAATCTTTCGAACAATATTCAATTTCACACCTTATTTATTAAGAAAGAGTTCATTATGCCTAAACAAAAAATGGCTGAAATAAAGTACCCAACTCAAATTAAAATATAAATCTTTTAATTATAAATAAACATTCTCAATTTATTATATACAAAACAATAAACAAAGTAAGTTTCCTGAGTCATGTGCAATATTTGTATAAATTTCAAAATCACAAAATTTCAATTCAGAAATATTTTCTTTACAATTCTGTAAAATACAAATTCAACAGACAACACAACAATACAGAATTTGTACAAAGTGATGATAAAATTTAATCTATACATAGTAATGTAGCAAATTTGTCATAGAAAAATGAACACGAAGGCATGGTATCACAAAACTTTTCACCAAACCCGGCCGAGTATTTGACATCAGTTGACATAGTTTTTTTTTATTATAACTGGGTATAGGGTGACGAAGAAATCTGTGGCGCCGAGTTCGAGCCAGGCCATGACAATGACGGCGGCGGCGCTGGTGAATAGTACGGATTTCCCAGTGACGATAAAAACAAGGGCTGATATGGATCTTCATTGAAATGAGGGACGGGATAATGTGCCGATGGACGGAATAAAGTCTCTTGTGGTCTAAGCGATGACAACAACCTTGGTTGTTCTGCTAGAAAAGGGTAAGGATATATGCCGTTTAGTGGTCTCCCTGTCGTAAAAGGGTTCATTCCTGAATGAGATGGAAACCGAGGATCAATGTTTCCCCGCTGCATTGTTGAAGGTACATCAGACGACAAAGTTTTCGCCGAAGAATTCGGAGGCGGAATGGCGTCCTTTTTCTGTGGCGTTGTACAAGATTTATTTGAAAGAATGTCTGATAACACTGGTATCTCACATCCACTTGTACTGTATGGGTTATGTAGACCGCCAGCGAACGCAGGATTTAGAAAATTGCATGTTTGACTAGGAAATGGGAATGAACTTTGGTCGTTTTTCGCAGGTTGCGGAATGATATTACGATTACCAGCCAAACTGACAGGTGGTCCGTCAGAACTGCTGGAAATTTGACTATTCTGGGTCGGTTTTGAAAATCCCCGTGGTGTTACAAACGCTGATGCATTCTTTGAATGATTAAATCCGCTTTTCAGCTTTTCAAAAAATGCTGTTGGTGTTACTTGATTTGGAGGATTGATCATGTCATAACTTCCGGTGAGCAAAGTGGTTGTAAGTCCTTTCTTGATTGCCGCCTTTTCTTTCTGCTTGTTTGTTTTCTTTTTCCTATTTTTCTTTCCCTTTAGGGGATCGTTTTTGAATTTAATCAGTTCACCTATGACACTTTTCATAACAACATTTGGCACTACTTGTTCACCATCGTCTTTTAAAGAACCATTAGCACTACTTTCTTCGGAAGAACTACTTTCATTTCCATCCGTTGCTGCCGGACTATTTTGTTGCGAGTCAGAATCTTTAATACTTCCGGTACTGCTGGTACTGCTAGTGCTTGTGTCACATGATTTTTCGGATTTCGACTTGCCTGAGTTTCCAATGACATCTTTCCTTCGTCTGTTTTGAAACCAAATCTAAAAAAAAAATTAAATACAATGCTACTTATTTCTTTTGTTACACCGAAAATTGACTTTATATTCATACGATGTAGAAAAAAACTTATAAACAAATAATTTGAATATTACACATACATATATAAGATATTTAAATTTACATGATTTTGTAGTGGTTTTGGTTTCAAAAAACTAATATACTTTCAATTTATTCATCGTTTTGCTTTACATAAAAACGGCCTGTGTTTTTGTTTTACATGAAAACAGCCTGTGTTTAAGGATATAATTCTAATAAATCTTCTTACAGTGGTGGACATGCATTATCATAATTGAATACTTCAATAATTGTAATTTAAGCCAGATAAGTAGTATTAAAATGTTTTAAAGTACGTTTTCAATATTATCCAGCATTAAATGCTTTCAAACCCACGTGAATATGTAATAGCCTACGATAAATGTTAAAGATAAGATAACGCGAATTAAAATATTAAGAAAGTGTCATAAGAAAGAGTTATCTAACTTGCTGATTATACAAGGTTTATTGCCCCTTATCTAGGATGTTATTGCTAGGTAATGATTTCGTATCTATGTTATCTATGTTGCTATAATAACATGATGACTTGTTTTACAACCATTAATACTTAATTTATCAAATGTAAAAATGTTGACGTACATTATCAGAAGTAAATAGCTTGTAAAAGAACTGGTATACTTTATACACTAGAAGGCCTCAAAACTAGTGCAATGTCTTGAATTAGCCACCCCCTCCTTTTTATTCTCAAACTGATAGAAAAAATACATCAAGCTGCATTAAATTGTTCAAATGTATTCAATTAAATGTTAAGTCAGATTTATTTGTTTGTTTCTTTTTTTTCGAAATTTAAGTCATGTAACAGAACAGAACAGTAACCAATCACTGTCGGTTACCTAGGCGGCTACTAGTACCTAGACTCTTCTATCCTCATCTATAATTTAATAATTTTATGTTAAAATCCCTGAAATTCGTAATGGACTATCCCAAACATACAGCAGGGCATGCCCATTAAAACAAGTAGGAGAAGAAAGGGTTAGAATAAATATGGTATAGCATACCTTCACTTGTTCTCTGGTAATACCAACACGTTTGGCAATAAGTTGCTTCTGCGTGGAGTTTGGGTATCGAACCTCATCATATATACCGTTCAGAAGTTCTAGCTGATACCGGGTATAACTCAGACGCTCTCTAGGAGGTGGAGGCGTGAATGGTCGATCTTCTGCAAGAGAGGACAAGATTCGTCATTTAAAAATGAATAAATATATATTATAATCTTGATCTTTTTTTAAATTTCATTGGCAATTGATCTATTTGTTAACCTAGTGACTATGTGATATTTTCATTCTATTATCATAATAAAGTTTAAGACTATTAGTAAAATAAAAACATAAAGCGGTAGTTTATTATTGTAACATTTAAATTCCTATTAAAACCTTAAGGTTTTTTTTAACTAGAATGATGTTCTATTATTATTCCGAAAGTAACAAAAGATTTCTTCTTTTTCATCACAGTCCGAGAAAATAATAATATTTACGACTTACCATCATCATCATCGTCATCATCACCGTCTGATTTAGATGCTGTTGTTGTCGGACTTGGTCCTTGATGTAAGGGCGGGGGCTGATTCCAATGTACCAAGACTCTGTGGTTGTCATAGTGTGGGGTACCCATGGGTCCACCGAGGGGATACTGCGAGGCTGTGAAAGCGGCATCAAACCCTGGTCCTAGATATAACAAAATTATACATTACAATCAATGAATTCAAATTTTCTTTTCGACTAAAGTTTCGCGGATCTAAAAAAGCACACGTAAACGTTACGTAACATGCAACGTCTGTTATTATGTTATACAAACACTTGCTTAAATGTATAAAAACAACATGAAAAATAATTAACGGTAAATGTTCAAATTAAAAAAATAAATACAAATATAATAATTTCGACTTTTTAAATCTACTGCTTAAAATACTCTTGTTCGGAGACTACTATGTCACAGATTTACAGAAAGCTTTATAAAGAGCTAACAATATTTTCTTGTGTTTATTAAATACAAAATTATACATAAAAATACACTTACCTATATTATAATTCCTTCTTACACTATCAACTTCAATCATTTTCAGTCTGTTTAAATCATAAGTTGAAAATATAAACTGTATATAAATTCTTCAACATATATATCACTAAAAAAGTATCTTCGTTAAGAATATCAACAATTTCTTCTTTCACGTTTTATGCCTTTTCCCACAATTTTTTATTTTATATATCTTATATCCTTCTTTTTATTCAAATATCTCTAAGAGTGTAAGTCCAAGATGAAGTTCAGCTACGAACTATCTATTTTTTATTGCCTTCCAGTGATAATGTTAGGTCCCTGTCATTAATCACGTCTATTTACTCTCAATTATCACTTTAATTGCCTTTAATTGATGTTTGACATTCTCAATTGTCACGTGTCTGATCTTTTTTAATTTTGAGTAAAACATGGAGGGAAATAGCACGTGCTAAATACCACTTTAAATATTGAAAAATGTTTTTCACATCTTCCAAAACTCGCGGGAGTAAATATTTATCCTCCACTGACAATCCAGTTTCATCCGCATTTAAATTAAACTATTGCATTCATTTCTTTTCTTGTTATAAAAAACTCTTTCCGGTACTTGTTATAAATATTAAGTTAGAATTGATATTGCTGCTAAAATAGTTAAAATTTGTTTAATCTTTAACTCCGTATCAACTTTAGTTTTAAAACAAATTCTCTGTGGCTGATATTACGATCAGCAAGTTGTCGCGATTGGCTAAGATTTTAAACACACTTGATTACGGCCAAGTAGATGATTTGTCAATTTGGCTACTATAATAGCATTTAGAATTAAAAATCACACTACGCTGCGAGTTATGCTGGTTTTCTTTCCACCTAGTGCGCATGTTTAGAGATCTTTTGTCCGCCAATATCCGATTGTAAAGGACTTATGAAAGATTCGACCAGTTAACTCGTTAGCAGCTTAACAGTTGCCAATTTACAATAATCCGTATTGTGAGAAAAATTGTTAAGAAAACAGTTTCTTTAAATATTTTTTCACAAACCAAAGCAGAGATTTTCTCAAGTTTACACAATGTATCGTAGGGCATTATAGATCATTTTCATAAAATTGAAAAGAAAAAGGTACAAGAACGATGTAATATTTATAAGTAGGAAATTGGTTTTGAGAAGTCGAAGATTGATTTTGTTGTTGATGTGTTTTTGTTGCTTTACATGTTGTTTCACGCAAAAATAAATCCTGAATAAATGACGATCAAAATGATGCAAATATTAAATCGTATACAAGATGGGTTGTTTCCCATAGAATCGTTTACTGGCATTAAATATACAAATATCGATAGATTACAAATATACGAATACGAATATAGAGGGGCGTATAAAATTTGCAAGAAGAACCTCACCTTTAATTACATATAAAACTTACAATAAAGTGGTGGAAAAACTAAACAAAAAGAAAAAAGGAGAGAAAAAAAATGAGACATTACATTATTCTTAATTATAGTATCCTGTATGTGATCTGGTATTATACAACGTATCATAAATAAAAAGCATATTTAAGCATAATTAAAACGGGTTATTGTCACTCTCTACAGTGATATAGGAGGGGGCGTGAGGGATGTTGCACATTTTCATTATCCCTCATGTACAGACTCAATCAAACCGAGTCTGCAATTCTTTTGTAATTTTGTTGTGATTAATGCTTCCGAGGGATCACTTTGTTTCCAGATTTGTATAAATTAATATCATAATACAAGTAAAATCATTGTAATGCTTTTCACAAATACCATGTTGGCAGTTGTATTTCAAAAATTTAATTGGTTCATGATGAAGTCAAGTCAATGCAATGATGGTGGGACGACTGATAAGCCCAGCGTTACGTGATCTAACCCAAGATGATTGTATTTTTACTTTCAATTAGGTAATGTACTTTGAACAATTTTAGATTATTTTTTGATAATTTTACAAATATAATGTGTAACAAATTCAATTTTCAAACAACAATTGTTTGGTTTATTTCTTAAAAAAGTCAATTACAAAGTACAGCATATCATGTGGCATAAAACTTCATGAAACCAAAAAGACATGTTCTAAATGGGTTGTGGACTTATACCTAATGGAACATCAACGTTAATACATGTATATTAATAAAATGTGCTTCAAAAAACTTTGGTATGCTATAATTGGGTCCAGACTTAAATGTTTAATGCTGAACGAATAAACCTTTAAGGTATATGAATATAATGTTAATGAAATAAAATTATTAATTTATTCATAATAGTATTTTCTTATTATGTTATACCAAGTATATGTAATTGGGTCTTTTTTTTAACGACGATGAGATTGTAAAGTGTAAGTAAAATAAAATGTATGTTCTGTTCATGCATATCTTTATTTGCTGAAATTAAATGTTGTAAAAAAATAATCTTACAAATATCTCTTTTCAATTATATTCTCTAAGAGATTACGCATACATTGAATAATGCTATACAGTCAAAATCTTTAAATCGCAATGTACATGTCACAGAAAATGAGATAAAATGTGCTATTCAATCATGTAAACGCGGAAAAGCCAGCGGAATAGACAAAGTATTCTACGAGCACTTTATTCTAGGTGGAGCCGTTGTTATTCATGCACTGTCAATTTTATTCACCTTAATGCTAAGAGAAAGTCATATTCCGCTAGGAATGAAGAAAGGTATTATTGTGACAATTCATAAAGGTAATAATAAACGCAAAGATGACCCGAATAATTTTAGGGCTATTACGCTGATGCCTACCGTTCTTAAATTGTATGAGTCAGTGTTGTTAGGACGCTCGTCAAAAACAATCCTGCAAACTATCAATAGCCAACAAGGTGGTTTTCAAGATGGATTAGGCTGTATGATGACATCTTTTCTACTCAAAGAAACTTTACTGTATTGTAAAGAATTACATAGTCAAGTATATGTTTGTTACTTGGACGCTCGACAAGCATTTGACAGAGTCTGGCATGACGGCCTTTTGTGCAAGCTTAATGATTGTAACATAGATGACAATATTTTTTTATCATTTGTTGATATGTATAAAGACATGACTAGTGTTGTAAAATATAAAGGGTCTACGTCAGAGCCACTGAAAATGTTACAAGGCACAAGACAGGGGAGTAAAAGCTCACCGCTGCTATATATTTTATTCATAAATGACTTGATAATGGAAGTAGAACGAAGTGGTCTCGGAATCTGTGTTTACAACTTTACGATAAGTTCGCCAACGGTGGCAGATGACATGGTGCTAGTTTCTTTCTCCCGTAAAGGTTTACAACAAATGCTAGATATATGTTATAAATACGCGTCAAAATGGCGATTCGAATACAATGCTTCTAAATGCTGTGTTTTGAAATACTTTGCCCCCGACAATTATATGAACGAACAAACTTTCTTACTAGGGAATTCACCTATACCATATGGTAACCAATACAAACATCTCGGGATCCTTTGTGATAATAATCTATGCATGAATCCTTCCATAGACGAAGCAGTAAGTAAATTAAGGATAACATTTTATGGTATTCTTAATTGTGGTCTTCACCCAGATGGTTTAATACCTCCGACGCTCACGACCATTTATCAAACGGTTGTTTTACCAAAAGCTTTATATGGCTGCGAGCTATGGAATTCTGTGCAGTTATCGGCAATGTTACGCTTGGAGAGAGCGCACAGAGAATGTATTAAGTGTATACAAAAAATACCCCGCAATACATCGACAGTTATCTCCCTTGGTGCATTAGGTATGTTTCCCATTGAAGCTGAAATTGCTAAACGCAAACTGATATTCTTTGGTCAAATTTGCAGACTCCCAGAGAAATATATTGCAAAACAGTTCTTTGTACACAGACTTATAAACTATTTGAACGGGGATAAACAAGTGATCGGATATATTCCTGATATGTATAAGCTATTAAGTAAATTTAATTTGCTCCATGTACTAGACGTGTATTCTGTATGTGGTACATTCCCAGAGAAACAAGCTTGGAAAAACGCTGTTAAACGGAAAGTTCATGAGTGGTATGTCAATGAAAGAAACGAAACTTTGCAAGGGCTCATGTCAGATCAGCATATAAGCACTGTGTTTCAGGGAGAGAATATGTGCCTGTTCTGGTCTTTATGTAAAGGGAATCGCTCAATGAAAGATGCATGTTACAATGCTGTTTATATTCTAGGAAGATTATACTCCTATACTGATATAGAGTGTTGTAACAAATGTAATGAATTGACTAATAAACTTACTCTCCATAAGATATTTTATTGTGCTGTTAACCATACAACTAGATGTGATATGTGGTTATATATTTTGAATTGTATCGGAATAAATGCCTATCTAGACTATATTCTACAAGATGAGAGAAACCAACTGTGCGATATTTTGTCGGGTTTTAGAGATTATAACTCTGCGTTTGATTATAATGCCCGGCTATGTTCATGTCTTACATATTTGTTTAGGCTTTGTAAGTGACTACATATATTTCAAGTAAAGCTTTAAGGGAAATACATCGTGATATTACATTACAATAGACTGTGTTAAAACAAAAATAAAACTGTAATTTCATGTCTCATCCGCTGTTCAGATCTTGTGTTTCGTTTCGATAAGCATTGAACTCTGCGGATTCCACAGTACATGTTACAATTTATTTAAGACAATGTTGTAATATAAGACAATATAAGAAACATGCTTATATGATGTATTAGAAAATATGACAGCAAATATAACTCCTGTTATATAAGATTAATTTTCCTTAATTTTTGATCCTGTACTTCTTTTTCGACATGTGCAGTCTTAAGGAAATTGCCTCTCTTTACTTGTTATTAATGCTATGTTTCATAATACTCGTATGTTTTGTGTTTTATTATTTCATGTAAATATTTGTATTTTTTGTATGTATATATGTTATGCTCTTCAAATATTGGAGGAAATAAAAGAATATATTAACATGTTTTACAAACACATTTCCATGTATAATTACTTTAACGACAAGTGATTGAGTAAAGGGCCAAAAGAATGTGTGAAAAACCTGTGCCTGCGTAGATGTCAAACTTGAGTACTTCCTTAGACAAATTGCAATTAAAGGTGTCATAAAACCATAAATAATTAATAAATAAGTGAAATGCATAGCAATTTGTACCATAAATTAAGTTAAATTTATGTTTATTGCTATTGAAGATATAAAAATATATAAATATCTTTTAAATTAATTTACAGTGTACAACAAAAGAGGTATAACGATTGCAAAACGGAACATAAAATGGTGTTAATTTTCTGGCTCATTTTCATTTGAAATTCTTCAGACAGAATATGGTTGCAAATACATGCACAAATATTCAGTCCTGTTTCTTGTACTTTAAAATGAAATTTAAAATAAATGACAAGAATAACAAAATATATTTCTCTGAATTTTTGACGTCTGAGAATTTTCTATTTAAAAAGAAACTGTACGCAATTTGTAAACCAAGACATATAGTAACTTTTATTTTGAGTATTGAAATCATTTTCTCAAACTAGAAATCCCTGGAATTAAAGTAAAATAATATACATGACTTTTTACATGTACTATGTAGAATTCGGGCCCGTTATATATAAGAACTGTCCGATTTCGAAAGAGTTTTTGAAGTAAAAATATACAGAAAAATGGTAAAGTTTTTGTGTTTATTCAATGTAAC